TTGCAAGGGCTTAAAGAGTTTGATAATATGTAGGGTTGGGGAAAACGTGTAGATTTTCTTTCATCTCTTTAGCAATTTGTGTGGTTTTCCTTGGACGAGTCTTGCACAAATTTTATTATATTTGGCCCTAATTACTTCATGTTTTTAAATACAATTGCAAATGGTAGCGTTTCAATTTCTATTTCCAAATATGTTGCTAGAAATAAAATTGCATTTTATTAACCTTGTACCTTACCTTACTAAGCTCATTAATTCTAGTTTATTCTTTAAGATTTTCAACGATTGATCATGGCTTCTACAGTTTTTTTTTTAAAGATTTTACTGGGGAATTGGGGGAAGGGGAACAGACAAGTTGCTGTTGTTTTGTTCTTCAGTCTAGTTGTGGAGGATGTCGCTACTGGCCCTCATATGTGGGATCCGAACCGGGGCCCTCTGGCGTCCCAAGCCAGCTCTTAACCAACACACAACTTGGCCAGCCCATTTTCTACAGTTTTATCTCTTACAATATTTTTTTTCTTTCTTGCCTTATTTCATAGGTTGGATCTTCAGTAAGTGTTGAATAGAAATGGTGACAGCAGATTTGCCTTTCTCCAAATCTTAGGAGAAAAAACATTTTGTATGATGTTAGATGTAGGTTTTTCATAGCTACTCATTATTAGAGTAAGGAAGCACCTTTCTAATTCTAGTTTGTTCAGTTTTTATCATGAATGGATATTGGATTTCATTGTACACATTTTCTGCATATATTGATATGACCATTCCCCCATCTCCTCCTGCCTTAACTTGGTGAATTATGTGATTTTAAAAGTCTATTAATTCACTTTTTAAAAAATTTTAAATTGTGCTGCAATACCCTTAACATAAAAATTACCATTTTACCATGCTTTAGTGTACAGTTCAGACTCATTAAATATATTCACTGTTGTACAACAAACCTTCACAAAGGTTTGCAAAACTGAAACTCTATACCCATTAAACAACTCTCCATTTCCACCTTCCCCTTTTAATTCATTTTTATTTTATAATTTCAGTCTGTAACTAACTGGAAATAAAAAGTAGTCCTTTCCCTCAGAGAGTTTTAAAAGCAGTGTTCTAAAAAAGTTGGTTTACTAGTAGTAAAAGCATTTTTAACACGTGTTTAGCTCGCAAATTAAGCTTTAGTGTCTTACACACAAAAAATCAATGTCTTCTTTTGTGATAGAAGATAAATATACCTCACTAGTTTCCTAAATGATGCTTTTCATCACTTCAAACTAGGTAAAATTAGGTTGTGTGTTTTTAAAGCAATTTATTTCCCTCAATCCATAATTTTTTACAGTAGGCTGTGGTCTGACCATGGGCTGGACCATAAACAAAAGCACAAGTCCCATTTTCTCCTGTCCCCTCTGACTCCTCTACACTCTGGTCCCGGCTGACGTTTCCTGCTGTTATTCAGCCAACGTGGACAGGTGGTTTTCTTTTTAATTAAAAAATCAAAAACAAAAACGTTTTACTAAGAGTATCTAGCTTAACAATCATCTGCTCGCCTTTTGGCAAGTACCGTGTTTCCCCCAAAATAAAACCTAGCCAGAGAATAAGCCGTAGCATGATTCCTCCAGGATACGGAGGGCACGCACCCCTCACATGAGGGTTTTATGACCTGTTTCAGGGAAAAGGGTGCCTTTTCCACAAACTTTTCAGCTTAAAGTATTCAGTATGCCAAGGTGCCATATTTTGGCACCTAAAATCACGCAACGGCTTATTTTCCAGCTAGGTCTTATTTTTGGGGAAACAGGGTACTCAGTCTTACCATTTCTTGTTAATATTCTAAAACAGGGTTTGTGGCTGGGACTTCATTTATTTTTCTTAAAAAAGACTGAACTCTATCACCTAATTTTAGTTCATGAAATCTGTTCTTCACAAATTGATAGTTTAAAAATACATGGGAATGACATATACATCAGATGTGGGCTGTCATATTTTCACCCAACCAAATATCCATGGAATTTGAGACTATTTGTTTGCAGGAATGAAACTTCTAACAACACAGAAATATACTGTATAATAGTTTTATTTTTCTCCTTTTACTATTTTTACATTTTATGCACAAATATTTTTATCTGAGTAAAAATAGAAAATAACTGTTTTATGTAAAATTACAAAAAAAATAAAAACCACAAAGAAATACATAATTGTTATTATGACAGTATAAGTGTCTGTATTTAAAGAGTAAAAATGTATGCAAAAATCCTCCTCCCTTTTACAAAAGATTGAGAATATTTTTTCTGGTAGCAAGTGAAGTATCACTGAAATATCAATATTTCTACACCCTCTAGATATGAAGACATTAAATTAGTCACAGGTGTTTTGCAATTATGAATTAAAAAACGTATTTGTGCTATTTCAGATATACTAGTTCTTTTTAGAAGGCAGTAGGATAAAATGATGAATGTGGAAAATAGCAGACCTCAGGCCTCACCAAAAATGAAGGTACAACCTTTTAAAGAAATATACTTGAGTTTTATCATTTATCAGGGGAGAAAAACAACAGTTTTTCCTCATTAATTGACATAGATTCAAAAATGAATGTGATGAGTTGATTCATATGAATATCAAACACTCACAGCAATTCTGACTCAATTGTTTGATTTTCTGATGCCAACGCAAATTTCCAAACTTCAGGATAGCAAGATACCTATGAAAGCTGGTTCAATATGAAGAACCTCACGTGGAAAACAAATTTTCAAACTAAAGTGAACATTTCATTATTCTTGTACTTAAAAGGTACAAAATATGACCAATAATTTTATTTCTTCCTTTGAATACACTGTAAATTATCTTATGGAAAATGTAGTCATAAAAACATAGCCAAGAATGAATGGCATGAATATTTTCTTCCCTATCTTTTAATAAAAGAAAAGACTACCTGACTTTCTGGTAACTGTAACTTCAATAAGGACAATGGGAATCGGTTCATGTTTAAGTTGAGACAAAGTAACAGAAGTATCTTAAACCAACGGGTAAACTGGTCTCACTGTTTTATCTATGTTACGGTGCACAAATGACAGAGGTGAAGAAACAATAAAAGCACCTGATAATGTATGAAAACTGTCTCTGTTCAAATTATAATGAGAAATGAAAATTGCCAGAGGAAGAAAATGGATAGAATGTGTTTTGTTTATTTTATTTTTTAAAGCATCTGAGGAATGCTTAAGGAAAAAAGAAATAATAGTCTTAGGGATCTAACATAAATGTGTGTGTTCCTTATCTTAAAAAAATATATACCTATTAATTGAGACATAAAGGAAGTCTGCAATCTAGGCTAAAACTTAAACATAAGCTCCCCCAAAAGCATTTTATATCTAAAAGTCAAGAATTTTAAGCTCTTGATAATATACCAGAATAGTATACTTTATTATTTTTTAAAACTGTAAGTTACTTGTCAACTCCCTAGGCCATAAGCAGATGGTGCAAAATCTTCTTTTCAGTTTTTTTTATCTGAAACTAGAGCTTCTGTTGATTATTTCATATTTCTATTCCACTCATATATTCTTGCAATCACTGTGCCCAAGTTATACTAACAATTTGTCAGTCTATTTTGTATGTGTTTATGAAGAGGTAAAAATGGAAGTTATGAATTTTATTCTTTTTTGATATTTACTGCAGGGTCTTAAAGGCCTTAATACAGTAATATAAATGGGCCAAAACTGCACTTTGTAGTTCTACAACACAGCCCTTAAAATTAAAAATTACTTGAGGTTATCAGAAAAGGAGCTCAGAGACTCCTCCCTGTCCCTAAAAGCCCTGCCTCCTGTGGTTCACGCCAAACCACTCGTCTCGACAGCAACAGCGGCTCACAATGCCACCTTGCCTGTATTACCGTGGCCCTTTCCTCCTAGTGCGTCACAAGCATTAGCTCTTATAAAGCTGCTTAGGGGGATGAATTCAAGAGATGATGAGGGAGAAGGGGCATAAAGTAATATTTGAGAATCAATCTTTTGCTATAAGAGGATTAGAATCTCATATCATGATTTGTACTAATACCTTAAAACAAACAAAACAAACAAAAAAGCAAGGAAAGGAAGTGACAAGTGAGCAAGCAAGCAAAAAAAAAAGACATTTCTAGCCACTTCTGTTTAGTGTCAGCTTGTGGTAAGTAAAAAGTTTCTCATATATAAGGATTATTTTTTAAAGAATTTTAAAAATGAGTTATTACCTTTTGAAATATCTTTCCTTTTGAATATTACTGTCTTCATATATGTGTGTATCTATATATATAGGAAATGGTCAAATGGACATGTATATAGATATTTGTATACTCACACATATAAATATTCAAAAGGAGAAAATTAAATAAATGGGAAATTTTGTTTTAAGAGACGACTGCCTGTACTGGAGGTCAAAATTTCCTTTTTAAAATACCAGGGTGCCAAAAAAATGTATACACGACTTTTATTTATCTTGTTATCAGTATATGTTGAGTATTACAATTTTAACGTTTTTTTCCTGTCTTAATATGTGTATACATTTTTTTGGCACCCTCTATATTTGTAACTTACTAATGTCTTGGAAAGGCAAAGTACTGCTGACTGATTTAAAGTCTTCATTTCATCAGAAACGCAATGACTATGTAAGCTCTTTTGCACACTAAACCGGCACTACAGGGTAAAAAAAAAAAAAAAAACCAAACCAAACCAAACCAATTTTCTGGCTGAGGTATACTTTTCAGTTTTTTAAATCTCTGACTGGAAAAACAGAGATCACTTCAGAATTTTTCTAATAGTTGGTTTATTAGAATTAGATGCCTCTCTCTTAAAATAATTTAAATTCTTGGCCTGACATTATGAATAATCTATACTGAAAATCCTTAAAACTGGCTTGAGGTAAGCCAGATTTCAACCTGGATCGCCTTCTTCGGCGCTGCTCTTTTGCCAGTTAACTTCTTATTGTCCTTTGCTTGCAAATATATAAATTACTTTAATAACTTGATACTCTTAGTTTAGAAATTTGTTAATATATAGTTTTATTTGATATGACTATTTTAGCTCTGCCTGATTAGACGAAAGAGGCACACATGCTTTAGCTGTAAAACTCCATGTTGCGGTTCTATGTAAAGCGACATCTAGGGCAGCAGAGGGGAAACAGTTACATTTTCAAAAATAGCTAAGCCTGACTGTTCCCTGCAGACACTTCATTTATTTTTCATCCTCAGATGCTACTGGCTATTTTTGGTCGGGCTAGACGTTAATACTGACCAGTTCAGCTTTCCTGACTGTTCACAAACTATCCCACAATGAACCCGCCTTCACACTGAAGCCATTGTGGTGATCCTTTAACATACACATATTCTAAAATATATGCTCAAAGTAAAAAGATCCAGATTCACAAGAGTATGAAATATTTATAAAAAAATCATGCATCAGATTGTAGTCTAGAAATAAAAGATTCCAATTCAGTAATAAAGGTAAGAGCAGCGCTTGCTCTAATAGTTAAGAAAAGACCTGGAACCTCCAGAAGGTCCTGGGCTCAGTTATCCTTTTCAGTTTGCAGAGAAGCCGTCGCCAGGGCTACCGCCGTGACTGGCTGGGCAATTCCGTGCAGCTGCATCTTTGCAAGTTTCTTCTGTTCACATTCTGTGACCAAACGGTTCAACTCTGCTGCACTGTATCCAATAAGAGTCTTCAAGTCACAGACAAACTTGTACACAAATCTCTTGCCTTGAACTTTACAAATCATGTCCCCATCATAATAATACCTTGAGAAAGAGAAAAACACATCAATACTATATAAAAAATAAAGACTTTGGCCTTCTTACAACATTTCACAGTCACTTGCATAAGCAGAAGCCTAGCAGAGTATCGCACCCACCATAAGAGCAATTAACATTGAAGTTACACAGAAATGTTTGATGTTACTATCCGAGGAAACTTCAAAACATTATTTAATTTACTAAAATTTCAATGCTCAGTACTCCAAAATTTTATGTACCAATTTTTCAAAGTATATTTTCCACAATCAGGATAAATCACTGATTTAAAAATAAATATTATTAAACAAAACAAAAAACCGTGGAAGTAATAACAGAACCTAAGAACAAGGGCTTGGAGTCAGAATGCTGAGATTCGAAATCTAGTGTCTTTATTACCTTTGTGACCACAAGAAAGCCACATTTTCTCTTAGCTTTTATTCCTCATCTATAAAATGAGGTTAAAAACAGTACTTACCCTCAGAGAACTGTTGAGGATTAAAAGAATTATCTTTGGAAAGTGCTTAGCACACAATGACTGGCACATAGCCCTCTATAAAATATAAGCTATGTTAACAATTAAGAACCCATACATGTGTAGTATGAAGATGTTTGTAATATATATATTCTATGGCTTGTTGGAATGTCCACTTTTGTCTTGTACAAAATACTATATTATGTAGCTATGCCTTTACTTACATCATATTAATCTGAAAGGCTTTCCTTTCAGAGAAATTATCTAAAGCCAACAGGGAGCCTCAAAAGCATAAGTAAAAGGGCTAGAAGAGACTTACAGAAACACAGGAAACAGGACATCATAAAGAAACAATGTTCCTAAACCTACACAGGTTCCATTTGGGGAAATCACTCTAGAAGTCTAGTAATTGCTGCTTTCTATGGAGATGGAAGTAGAATAGAATTTATATTTACTCTGGGAAACAGACTTTATTTAACCACTATACACTGCCAATTCCAATAAGAGGGGAAAAAAAGTAAAGACTTTCATGGACAGCAGACTGTGGAGCCTTTACTTTAAAATTCCACTGCCCATTTGCACCCATTTGACAGAGAGCTGTTACAAAATGAACAATTATTTGCAAAAGTACCAGTGGTGTAAACTACCACATTTAGCAGCATTTTATCATAAACTGTCACTCAGTTTAAATAAGTCCATTAATGAAAGGAGTGACCTATACACAGGAAACTGTCATCTTTCTCTAGTTGCAGAACAGCAAAAGGATAATAGTTATGTTCACTTTCCCATTAAGATATAACACCCTGGCCAGTCTTGTTTCCTTTCGTGCCAATTACGTTAATACAGAATTTAGATCTCAGAACCACCTAATGCTTGTCATTCAGTTTAAAATGCTGCTGGCAGGGCCGGCCGAGTGGCGCAATGGTTAAGAACTCGCTTGGGACGCCAGAGGGCCCCGGTTCAGATCCCACATATGAGGGCCGGTGACACTGCCCTCCACAGCTAAGATGCTGAACAACAGCTCAACCTGGAGCTGGGCTGCCATGAGTCACCGGCGACGGCATAGGCTGTAGCCCCTGTGGCAGTGGGTTGCCACGGGCTACCGTGTGTAGCCAGCAGCCAGCGTGAGCGGCCAGCAGCCGCAGTGAGCGGCCGTCCAGAAGCCGGCGACTGATCTGCCTCACCCGGGAAGAGCACAATGATGGTGCCAACTTGGGCCAGTGAAGCAACGTCCTCCACAACTAGACTGAAGAACAAAACGACAGCAACTTGTCTGTTTCCCTTCCCCCAATTCCCCAGCACTGTTCCCATCCCCCCAATTCCCCAATTAAAAAAAAAACACAAAACTTTAAAACAATAAATAAAATGCTGCTGGCATTTCAATTTGTTAAGAAAATTTCCTCATAATATGTAAGTCTGTAACAGACACTTGAGAAGAAAGGAGAATGAATGAAGGAAAGTGGTTCTATTTCAAGCAGTTGGTATGCTTTAATGTTTCTTTGTAAGAGGTGATAAAAAATACACAGAAGTTTAATTTTCCTTAACGCTTCCTTCAATCTAGTAGATCGCTCACACAACTATACACAATAGCATTCATTGCGCTTGTTCCTTCTCTATAATTAAGAAAGTACAAAGGGGCACAATACCTGTATTTTCATGGATATGATTTCTTTTCTTCCCTCTTTTTTTGAAACCTTTTGAATTGTGATACATATTACACAGAGAGGACAGAAAAGTGGACAGTGCAGTGATTTATTACAAAGTGATAATTTATTACAAAGTGAACATTCACCTGTTCGTTGTGACTCAGGTCAGGAGACAGAAAGAACACTGTCCGGACCCCAGAATCCCCTTTAGGGCTCCTCCCAATCATCAACTGCCCCCCAAAGGTAAACACCAATCTGTCGCATGACAGTAATTTCATTGCTTTTATTTATATTATCACCCAAACTTGTATCCTTAATGCTGTAATTTAGTTTTTCTGTTTTCTGAACTTTACTACATAAATGTGTTCATACAGTACATATTCTTTGGTTCACCGATATCAGTGCTTTTAGCAGTAGTTCATTCTCATGGATACACAGTATATTCTCTGGGACACCACAATTTATTCATTCACTACCATTGATAGATACAGGTATCCTGTGCATTCCGAAAGTTTGCGTTCTGCCACTTCACTTTTAAAAGACTTGCGTTAGTACTGCTTTTGCTAATAAAAAAACATCCGGAAAGTGTTTTTACTTTTACGACAAAAAGGCGAAAAGCAAAGCCCGTGTTTAGCACTGGTTTTGCAGCAGCCATCATGGAGGCGGCGTGCTTCCCAAGCCCCTTGCCCATGATCTCCACCTGGCATCTCAGCATCGAGCTGCCGTGGTTTTGAACTGCGTTTGGGAGCATCGGTGCTTTCTTTACCTCCATTTAATCTGCGCATTCCTGTTTTTACCTTGTGTTATTTTAGATTTCATGAGTTATTTGGTAGGATATGTATGGTAGGTTACTCTTTGGACCTGACAACGCTCAGAAACTTCCATATAAATTCATGGTAACTGCTTCTTCGCTCTATGCCATTTTGTCTTATGAAAGGCTTCACAGGAACGCTCTACTTTCGGATAGTGGGGGAAACCTGTTTTTTGGGTAGTTTCTGGTTTTTGGATGTTATAAATATTGTGGACATGTGTGTACATTTTTGTTTGCTAAATATTTAGGAAGAGAAACTGCTGGGTTACAGGCTACAATTTACATTCCTACCAACAGGGTAGCAGCATTCCAGCTGTCCTCACCAACACTCCCAGCACTAGTAACCATTTTAATTTTAGACACTCTGAGGTGTGTGTTGTACCATTTAACTGTGGTTTTAAATTGCATTTCCCTAATTACTAACGAGGTTGCACACCTCTGTACACATTCAATGGCCATTTGGAAAATCTCTAAAGTGTCTAACTCTCTTGCCCATTTTTCATTTTCCTATTGATTTGTAAGAGTTCTTTAGGTATTGAAAACACAAGTCTTATGTCAGATTATGTGTGGCCTGCCTTTCACTCTCTTGATGAAGGCGTCTAATGACCAGATTTAATTGTAATGAAGTCCAATTTATTGGTCTTTTCTATTAGGGTTAGTGCTTTTAGTTTTGTCTTTCCTCATCTTCCAAAGTCATGGAGGTATTTCGAGATTCTTTCCTATTTTACTTTTGACATTTCGAGCTACAAGCTATATGAACTGATTGTTAATATGATGTGAGGAAGTTTTATTTTCCCTTATGGACAGTCAATTGTCCCAGCACCACGGACTAAAATGTAGGTCTTTTCCTGATGTCCTCTCTCCGCTGTCATCTTTAAATCAAACGCTCTTATATATTTGGTTCTTTTTGAGCTATCTATTCTACTCTTATGATCTATGTGTCTATCCTAAACAAACAGCATACTGTCTTATTGTTGCAGCTTTATAGTGAGCCTCAAGTTAACCTTCTTCAGGTTATCGTGGTACTTTATTATTCCCATATAAATTTTATAATTACCTTGTCAAGTTCTATGGAAAATCTTATTTAGATGATTACTACATTGAAACTTAGGTCAATCTACAGAAAATCGACATCTTAATTATTCATTCTAATAATTCATCAATAATTTTGACGGAATTTGTATGTACACCATCATATCAATAGTCAAAAATTACAGTTTTAATTCTGATTATTATACCAAAAGTATTGTTAGATAGTTGGCCACGTGTTTGAGACTAAATGATAAGCACACTGAAAATAAGGCATTTGTTACTTATGAATACTAAGGAAAACAAAAGATCACTCTGGAAAAGAAAAATACTCAAGGTAAACCATGTAATAGTACTTACACAGCATGATCCTATAACAATGAATACTGAATTAATCAACATTTCCATACAATTATATTATGATGAAGGGATACAAAGGGGCTGTGTGTGTGTGTGTGTGTGTGTGTGTGTGTGTGGTGATGAGAGGTAGTAAATCATAATCTCTCAGTGTGAAATTCATAGACAATGTTCAAGTGAAACATGAAGTAGCAGTAAAAATGTACTTAGAAATACAGAAGTAAACTACAGAACTACTTTACTATATTCACTCTTCAAAAAAAAAATAGACATAATTACATGATATTCCTATATATCCTTCCCAGATACTTAAATGCACATACTGAATTTCCATCACTTTAGTAAGCGTAATTTCTGATATTATACAAAAATTTTCATACTGCTTAGAGGAAATTATAAGTAATTTATTCAATTCCAATTCTATCAATACAAAGGTTGGATATTCAGATTTAGGCAGATTGTAGGGGGAGAAAAATAGGAAACCGGGCCAATATTTTGCATCTAAATATAAAAGCTGAAAATATCAGCACATTTGCTCAAGTTTACACTCAATTCACCTATGCAAATGACAGTATCTTTCCCTGTTACTTAAATGACAGAAAACTCAAAGATGAAACATGTTGGTTTTAAACAGAGTAGTATATGCTTTTAAATCAGATAAAAACAAATAACATTTCCCCATTAGACTATCAGCAAATTTCTCAGTAGTTATGTGACAGGCCAGGAGAGAGTGGAATGATATATTCAAAATACTGAAAGGAAATAACTGCCAGTCAAGAACAATCTATCCTGCAAGCTTAGCCTGCAGATATGAAGGAGAAATACAGGCTTTCCCTGACAAACAAAAAAAGTAATGTTACAGTAATATTTTAAAAACTCTATGTACCTCAAAATTATTACTAAAGATCTTTTTAAAAAGTCTATTTTAACACAAGTGTGAAAATTTTAGTTTTTATATAAAGAAAACATCATCTTATGAACGAGTCAAGTACTTAAAAATTATTACATAACAATGTTTACACCTAGAATAAGAAGCCATTTTTTAGAAAGGATTGATATTAAAAAAAAAAAAAAGGCAATAAATGCTTACCTTAACGCACGACTGAGTTTCTCATAGTTCATCGTAGGTTTATTTTTACGTTGTCCCCATTTTTGTGCAACCAGTTCAGGCTGATTTAGTTTAAACTCGCCTTCATCACCAACCCAAGAAATGCAGTCTCGAGCATCCTTGTCGGTAAGAAGTTCTAGCAAAAACTGCCATAGTTGGATTTGGCCATTGTTTCCTAAATTGAAAGGGACAAGCATTGACCACAGTGTTATAAATTAACAGAGGGCAAAAGGCAACACACAGGTTCTCTGGTTCACATTTCAGCCATGCAAAGAACACAACTGTTTTTTCAAATGCTGTCTAAACACTGCCAGATAAATAGTCCATACTCACACTGAAATCAGACAAAATATACATAATATGACAGGTTTTATAAATACCAGATGATAATGCAAAAATACCTGTTCTGTTCCCAGGTGAACTTCTATCTTCTCCTGAAATCCTTGGAGCTCTTTGTACTTTGGCTGCCTTTGCACCACTGTTTATACCTTTAATGGTAGTTGGTGTAGCCGACTGCACTGAGGCTGGAATAATTTGCACAGCTGCAAAGAAAGACAAGGGGAAAACTTTTTCCCTTCTAATACAAGCATTGAAAAAAACTACTGAAAGATATAAAACGCAATTAGCTTAACTAACGTCCCTCTAATTATCTCAACAAAAGGCCTCATTTTAAAAGGCTTAATCTACAACAATTTTGAAAAAAATTATAAAAAATGTTCAGAGGATAAGGTATGTTTGCATTACAGTTTGTGAATCTTAGTGAATAAAAGTTGGTCTTATTTTTTAAATAACTTAGTGGTGTATATACATTAGACAGTTATAAAATATTAGTTCATTAAAAATGGTTTATCAAATGTTGAGAGAAAATGTGGATGAATGAGAACTCCTATTTCACTACTGATGAGAATACAAACTCACACCACCACTTTGAAAAAACAACTTTGGTGATACCTAATAAGACTGAAAAGGTAGAAAGCCCATATTACAACCAAAGAATCTCACAGACATTCTAATATATACTACTTCAATGATGTTCACAAAGTTTTAAAAATAATATGCAGTAGTGAAAATGAATCATACTCGAGCTGCAAGTATCAACATGGGTAATTCTCAACTTTTAAACAAAAAAGCAAGTTATAAAAGGATATGCACAGTATCTTACCATTTTACCCAAAATTTAAAGGTGTAAAACAATGCTATAGTGTTTATAGTTACATAGTTGGTAAAAATATAAAATATGCATAGAATATTAAATTTCAAGTTCGGGATTTACAACAGGTAAATTATATATATATATATATATATATATATATATATATATATATATATAGTTTTATTTCTTAATAGTATATGGTGTTATAGTGTACACAGATGTTGATTATACTTTATTATTCCTTTGTATACTTAAATTATTTCATAAAAAATTAAAAATTAGTTTTCCTTTTTACTACTTTGCAATACGGAATAAAGGAAACATTTCTTATTGATAAATGGGCCATGTATTATGGGCATGTATACTCACGTTGATCAATTGTAACTATCTCATTCATCTGTTGTTCCTGGCTTGCCAACACATCTGAAGAACACACACAGAAAATTTTATTTTCATTTGAAAACCAGAAATGCAAACCTTAATCCAGTAAAATTGAACTTTATAAACATGATCCCTTTAAAAGAAACTCCATAATTAAAACCAAAACCAAACAAACAAAAAAGCAAAACATCAAACAATTGAAATTTACTGGCATGATAACCTAAAAAATATTTGAGTCACTTTATAAGGAACAGATATTTTTAAGAGAAATGGAAAGTCCCAATTTCTTTTAGAGTTCACTATTCAAGGAACTATGATTTTCTAAGTGTAAATACCTACATCTAAGTCTATTTACCTATCTACATAAAACCATGTAAAACACGGAAATCTTCAGAGTCAGATCAGTTGAGAATATGCAGAACGCTGCAAGTATCAGATATACATTCATCACCAAAAAGGCTTCCTCAAGATGATCTGAGAAATCTTCATAGTGTACTGATCTAACATCTACTTTTGAATAAAACTGCTTTAACTTTTTTTTTTTAAATTGGGGAACTGGGGGATGGGAACAGCGCTGGGGAATTAGGGGAAGGGAACAGATCAATTGCTGTCCTTTTGTTCCTCAGTCTAGTTGTGGAGGACGTCGCTTCACTGGCCCAAGTTGCGCTCTTCCCGGGCGAGGCAGATCAGTCGCCGGCTTCTGGACGGCCGCTCACTG